CATAAACCTCGGTAGAATGCAGTGCCAAAACTGTTCGCAGAGCTCTGAAAGAAGCTGGTCTGAGGGCAACAACCAAGCGAAAGAAGCCGTGGCATATCCGACAGCGGCTAGAATTCGCCCGCTGCCACCAACACTGGACTGTAGAGGACTGGAAACGCATGATTTGGTCAGACGAGACAAAAATCAACCTTATGAGGTCGGATGAGCGTGATTGGACATGGAAACAGCCCGGCGAAGCCCTAGCAGAGCGGCATGTGAGGGAGACCCGCAAGTATGGTGGAGGTGGTCTGATGTTTTGGGGCTGCATGACGCCCAAAGGAGTCGGGTTTGGCTGTCAAATCTAAGGAAGAATGGATGCCAGGCTCTATACAAGCATCCACGAGGAAAAATTGCTCCAGACACTGGCGCATTACCGCCTCGAAGTGGGAGAGGTGGTGTTTCGGCAGGACAATGATCCGAAACGCACCTCGCGGCTGGCTCGCCAATGGTTCCAGGACCGTGGAATCGAGGTCCTAGAATGGCCAGCACAGTCGCCCGACCTCAACCCAATAGAGCACGTGTGGCAACATTTGAAGCGGAGGCTGGCAAGGTACGAGAACGAGCCCGTCAGCATCCACGAGCTCTGGCAGCGGGTCGAGACTGAGTGGGACGCCATTCCAGTCCAAATACGCTTGGATTTGATCGAAAGCATGCCTAGAAAGGTTCAGGCAGTGTTGAAGGCCAAAGGCAAGCACACAAAGTATTAATCAATTCGTTGTTTCGTACGCCTGAGTGAAAGGGACAAAACTGTTGCAATATATATATATTTTTTTTCTTTTAGAGTGACGAGAGAAGTTGATAAGGGATTCTGAAGAGGTCAGGTTTTTACCTGATCGATCTCATCGATCGATCAATACGCATGAGATTCTGGTCAAAGGTGACGGAGCCAGCGGTGAAGTACGTCTGAACCAGGTCTCAAAACTGCCCAAATCGACCTAGTTATGCAAACGCAACTCCACGCATGAGGTTCGACACGAAAATATAACAAATAAAATAACAATAATAAAGCAAATAAAAATACATAAATAATAAAGCAAATAATAAACAAATTAAAAAAAAATTGAGCGTTGAATGACAATGCGCAAGGAGTCGCTTCATCCATTTCTCTCGCTTCAAGCGTTTTGCGAATAAGGAATGAAAAATTCCCCGACGAGCTTAACCCTTGCGTTCACCCGGTACGCGATTGCGAGATGAATAAATAGTTTTTTCTAATTATGGTACGCTCACTTCCTCCATGCATTCGGGCGCGAGGGGCTCTTTTTCCTGGAGCTTCACCCGGATTCTGCGAAGATGGTTACCATGGCAACCAATTAACGGTCCGGTTGACGCCGATGCGGAGACGTGGAAATTTTTTCCGAAAATGTTTCCTCAAAAATTAAAAAATATTTAAATACGATTCGAACTTTCGATAAATTCATCAAGACTTCCGGGGAACTTTCCGCCAGAAATTTCCCGAGTTTCTTTCCCCGAAGTTCATCGAAAGAAGGAATGATCACGGAATGACGTGTTCCCCTTTCCAGCGGCATCAATGAGCTCAGACTGATCGGCTGATTCTGAGCTCACAGGCGACAGAAAGTCTCCTTTAATAAAAAAAAAAATCGAGGAAATAATCGATCGACGGGAAAGGGGCAATCGGCGTCCCTTCCCGGCCGATTGCTTCTCATCTGGACCGAAAGACAAGCCATACTTAATCGGGGAATCGATCCGTTGGCGAGGGGGGGGGGGGGGTGAGCTCGATCGCTAATCCGACAGGAAAACTTATCGGTGTGCTTGGCAAGGCCGTTCGATCTCGTTCCGCGAATGGCATCCAAGGATCTCAAAGCTCCCCATAAATTGGCCGAACGGAGGAAGATTGAAAAAGCAGGGGGATGGAGGAAATGAAGGCGTCGGATCTCCAGACACTTTGTCCAGGGCATTCTTCCACCTCCTCCATCCCCTCCACCTCCTCCATCCCCTCCACCTCCTCCATCCCCTCCAAGCGCGTCAGAACGTTGTCAAGTGCAATCCCTCCCCCGTCTACGCGAGGCCAACATTCTCACACTGCGAATCCAACGATTATTATTTTACGTAACACGCCCCTCTCCGCCTCATTTCTCCGTAAACTCAATTCAAATTTCAAAGATGAACCAGGTGCTTACACACCCATTGGCCTCGTTTCAGGCTCGGATGAGAATTAAAGAGTGAAACATGTTGACGGCGGAGGGGGGAGACGTAGCAGCGCGCGGAACGTTCCAGAATGCCTAGGATGGTCACCTTCAGAGGGGCTGATATCAGCTTCTCCTTGCCAAAACCGAAGGACAAATCGACAAGGTGGATGTGAAGTTAACATTGCCTTATATGGAGCTTACATAACCATCCGGAGTCCTGTTCAGTGCCGAAAAGGATTACGGCACAATGCTACTTGACGAAAAACCGACGAGGATTTATGTGGGGAAAAGCACGTTCCTACAAATGATGGCGTTGGCGGACGGGCGGCTTGCGAGGGTGGCGCAAAAACTGGGGTGAGCTCATTATGGCTCATGGGGAAGATTCGTTTCCCCAGAAAGAGCTAGCGGTACGTCGAGGGTAGACCTACAATAAGTAAATAATAATAAATAGGCCTACCATGAAAAATATATAATAAAAAAAACGAGATAGCATGCCCATGGGAAAAAGTATATATTTCCTCGAGACAGAGAAAATATCTCTCCCACGTGGCCACGATAGGTCAAGGATACCCCCCCCCCCCCCCCCCCCCCCCCCCCCCCCCCCCACCCCCCACGCGGCCCCGATAGGTCAAGGATCCCCCCCCCCCCCCCCCCCCCCCCCCAGCCCCACCAATCCCTCTCCTTATCTCTCCTGCAGAATATCTCACCCGACTGCCCGTTGAGGAATTCCCTGGGCCCCCATTCCTCCTCCCAGGTACGTCATAAAAGGAGGAGAGCTTCCACATTCAATTTCCCTGAGTGCTCTCCGTGCCTCCCTCCCGTGCCCTCCCCTCTTTCCTTTCTCTCTCGTATTAAAAGATGAATGCGCATGGAGCAGCGCTCCGCCCTTTGCTCGACGTGATCGCGAAAACAACAAAAAAAATTCCGGCAAAAAATTCCAGGAGAAATTCCGGGCAGGAAAAAATGCAGACAAAAAAATCTCTCGTTCTCCATTAAACTTTTCGTGCAGTCCCGATTCCTATCCCGGTAAATAAATTCAATTAACCTTCCAGTAATTTTTATGAGCACAAATACCCAACTCCATCCACGCGCCTGCTGCAAAAAATCCAGATTTTCACTTCCGTCGAATTCCTCTCTGGTAACGACCGCGGAACGAGCTCATCTGACAGGAGAAAAATCCGATTAAATCTGCCGAAATCTCACAAGACAAGAGATTCCGGCTCGATCCGGGCACGATCCCGGCTCGATCGCTCAAGGGCGGTTAGAGTCTAAATCCGGGATCTGCGACGCTAATGAAACATGCAAATGGAGAGCAATTAGTCGGGAGAGAGAGAGAGAGAAAGAGACGCGTAATGAAATCCCTTCCTTTCATGTCATGAATTATGGAGATGTGCCCCCATTTGAGGGGGAAAAAGGGGAAATGCCCCCCCATCCACACCCCCCCCCCCTCTCACACCCGAATGAGATCAAGTCGGATATGCCTCGCGGATTGATTCGATTATCCTGGGAAACAATGGGGGGGGGGAATTATCTCTATTTCCGCTAACGGCTCCATTCAATGGAGGGAAATGAAATAAATATAATAATAATGATGAAAAATAAATAAATAAGTCGATTCAAAAAAAAAAAAAAATATATATATATATATGTTATCTTTAATGAGTTTTGCTCCAAATCGTTCACCGAGTTCCGGGAGTCGCTAATTGCCAACAATCGCCGAACAAAATCACCCAATTGCAACGAATTAGGGAATTGCCTCATTAGTCCAGGAAATGGCCGGATGCAAGATTAAACGGGCGGCAGAGCGCCGACACGCGATATTTCCGCAGCGGGGATTTCTTGCATTCGAGAGTGAAGTCATGAGTGAAGTCATGAGTGGCGTCATCATCTACGCACATTTTCCAGTTTTGCACGCAATTTACGAATTTGAGTCGATTTTTCACTTTGATTCCCTGATTCAAGGAAAAAGGATCCAAAGTCACCTCGACATCGGCAATCAGAGCAATAAAATATCACAAAGAGAATCGATAATATTGAAGGAGGAGAACAACTGAACAATTTGTTTAAATACAAATATATTTTAATATATTGAAATTGACTTAAAAACAAGAGTCAACTCAAAAGTAAAACTCTAAATTAAATAAATAAGATTTTTAAAAACAATAGCACAACCCCCTCCCTCCCACAAAAATTATGAATAAATAAATAAATAAATAAGTAAATAAAATCACCGACACGAACTTTTTGATGCAATTAGTTCATTAAAAATTCAGCTCTGCGAAAGCTACATTTTTTTCCCTTCCGGGCAAACTGGAACTCACCTTGCCTCAGACATTGAGCCAACATCGACTGGACGTCGACTCAACGTCCGAATGCTCATTCAACGTTGATTAAATGTTGATTCAACGTTGATTCAATGTTGATTCAATGTCATACGCTACCTGGATCCAGCTGAGCAAGCAAACGTCATTAATTCATTCTGATTCATTAGATTTCGCTTGAAAAAAAAACACGCTCCGATGGAAATTCTCGTGAAACACCTTGAACTTGCTACATTTACGAACTGTGAATTTAATTAAAATCAATGGAATTTACTTGAATTTAATCCCGATACTTCGCATGGCATACCGCCTCGAACCCCTCAAAGTTGGGTGCGTTCTGTGGGCCATTCTGACAGAAATCATTTTCTCCTGTACTAAGAAGACGACTGACCCCAAATAAAACCGCTTCACCGTCAAACAAAGGAAAGCATACAAATAATGAAAATAATCCAACAAATAAATATATTTTAAATAAAGACCCAGGGAGCCTCACCTCAAAGAAGATCCTGGACCCGGCCGCCCTGAGAGAGGCGATCCACTCCTCCATCTCTTTCCTGTTTTCCGCTCCCAGGGAAAGGCACCGGAATGGGGTGATCACCTGCAAGTCACAAGAGAAGCAATATTATTGCAAAGTCACAGGTGAGGCAACATTATTGCAAAGTAACCGGTTGAGCAATTTATTGCAAAAGAGGAAATGCCGAGCTGGGTCAGCTGTATTTTTTCCTTCCCCCAAGGGCTTCAAACTGCACTTTACCCACTAATTTCATTTCGAAGTAGCACATGAGACCGATGGGACATCGATGAGAAACATTTTGGTGAAATTTGATGGTAATTTTGCGAAAATGAGGGTCCAATAAATTAGAGACAGGCCCTATTTCTCTCCCGAAGCATTCCGCAGCAGACCAAACAGTGCGGGGACGGGATCCCTTGCAGGCCCGAAATGTGACAAAGCGGGGAAGTTTGCTGAGCAAGAAGAAAATAAGCAGTTTGTCAGGGCTTGATGAATGAGGGAGAAAAGAAAACTCTTCGCTTTCTTGCCCCCCCCCCCCCCATCTCTCTTTCTGTCCCATGAGGTGCATCGTAAAAAGGGGGGAAAATCCAAATACATTCCTAACTTTTTCCAGGGACACGTACATACTGTACTATAACACATTTCTTATATGGTATACACAATACCATGACTTTTTTTTCTTTTTTAATCGGTATGCAAGATACTGCCTATAGTTATAATTTAAAAAAAAGAGCTACAACGAATCAGGTACACATTATAAACCCTAAGTTAGTACTGCCAGACGCAATGGTAAATGTGCAAAAAATAGAAGCTACAGATGAGCAACAGTCAGGCTTTGGAGGGGGGTCCGTCATTGTGAGTGGAGTGGGGAGGCGGTCCGATCGATTCCACAGGGGGAAAGTTTCCCTTTCCAAAGGAAAATGTCCAAGCCTCTCAATAGAGGCGAAGAGGGATATGACGCAAAGAAGCTTTTATGAGAAAGGGGATCTCGTGGTCGATGATGATGAGGGACGGAGGGAGGGAGGACCCCACCGAAAAAGGAGGTACTCCTCCATATAACCGTGCGAAGGGGGTGGCGATAGACGTCATTCCTCCCCGCATGGGAGATTCCGTGGCGACGCAGATCGTTTCCCAGAATATCCATTAGGCACGAGGAAAGGGGTATTCATAGCTTCCAAATAAATATTCCCGCCGCTTGGTTAAACGTGTAAGGCCTGACTGTTTCGGCCCCTTTAATATAAAAGAATAATTAATGATTCCATCAATTCTTCAAAATCAATTTAAAAATTCGCCCACAGGATCTTGTTAAAATTGACTCTTGGGCACAAACAAGAAATTTCGCCCAACCCCCCTCCCCCCTTCGTTCATTCGAGAAGTTCTCATCAGATGCATTGAGCCCTTCCAATCCATCTTAAACCCTGGTTCTCATTTTTTTAGCTGAAATTCCATTAACGTTCATAAATTATCAACGACATATTTTTGAAGATAAAATATGACGGGGGAAGAGAGAGACCGTCAGGTGGTCTCAAGAGGATCAACGAACTTCACAGATTCCTCCAGGCATAACTTCAACTTTTCCTCGGGAAGTTCCAGGGATAAAGGGGGAATACAGGGGGAATAAAGGAGTGGTTTCTCATTTGGGATTCACCACACCCCCCCCCCCCTCCCCCACCCCATCCTCCTTCCCCTCCACCCTCCCCCTTTCCTTCCTTTCTTTTGATTCTCCCTGGATTGACGTCAGTGGGCCTCTCTCGTCCCTCGAAGCGGGATATTAGCGAATCCCATCATTGCCCGGATTCAATTTTCGTTCCGCTATCCGGAGACAGGGGACTCCGGGACGCTCCGGGGACAGCGTCCCGGAGTGGGCATCTCCCTGCACACAAGCCCCATTTCCTGCACAATCGAATTTCCTCCTCGTTTTTCCCTCTTTTCTTCTTTTATTTTCTCCAACCAGCCCTCGGAGAATCTATCGGGTCGATGGACTAGGGAATTCCTTTTCCTGGAAGGGCAACTTCTCGACCGATGGGCAATTTCTTGACTGACAGTCATGCCGAGAACATTTAAGATATATTTCGAGCCATGAAAAATCTTATTTTGCTAGTTAAAACAACTTCCCATATATTCGGATTTTCGCAGAATTTCTCCGTCAATAAATAGAACAAAAACCTCGGACCAGTTCTTGATATCCAATAATTCTTTTGAGTAATTCTCGGGATTCATTACCCCCTCAGGCAGTTCTCGGTAGTCATCACAGGGACACCGAAAGGAGAGAAAGTTCCCAAGAGACGAAAAATCAGGACAACCAGCACTATCACGTAACAGAACTCCGAGAAGCCCTCAACGAGTCTTGGTAACACTGCATCCTCATCAGCGACTCATTAAGGCCCAGCCCATTACCAAAGCGAGTCTACGACTTTCGGCTGCAAATCGTCGATGGAAATTTGTCGCATGCGACTACACGCCGACAAGACAACCAGTCCCGTTATCTTCCGTCGCAGGCATGACCTTGCCACAATAACCTCACGCCATACAGTCGCTAGGTCATGCATGGCAAGGCAATCCGACCAAGCAGAACAGGTGAATCCTCCCTCGGGTGAGTCTTCCTCCCCGCAGACCACGAACGACGAGATAGAACTGAAAGCGACCGAGCACACCCGTGCCGTCGACCTAGGGGAAGGACAAGATCATACAGGAACACGAGGAAGCCTGCCCGTGATACCCTGGACTGTGATTGTTTCTGTATTGGAGGAATCACCGTCGCTTCTGGGAAGTCGATGGAATGAAAGTGATGAAGAATTTCACCATCGAGGAATCGACCTTATCTGAGGAATCGAATTTATTGCGACCGATTTTCCTCGCGACGATTTGTCATCGTCGACTGCCTTGTGATAGAACGGGTGCGCCGACGACTGATGCGACGAAAAATTAATGCGACGAAAAATTAATGCGACGAAAAATTAATGCGACGAAAAATTAATGCGACGAAAAAGTAATGCGACGAAAAATTAATGCGACGAAAAAGTAATGCGACCAATTTTCTCGTCCTTTGCCAGCAGGTATCTTCGCTCTATGGCTACAAGTTACAATTTGCTCAACGATTATTGCCAATTTCCAAATCAGGACTTGCTGGAAATAAATATTTACTCATTCAGGAATGCAGCGTTGCATTCACAGTTTTACAAAAAAAAATTGTACGTCCCCATGCCAAAACCGATTCGCAACCCGCACAATAAAATCACAGATGAGCGATGACATATAAATGAGGAAAACCGAACCAAACTCCCCAGTGCTATAGAAAAACCTTTGTACGATTATTTATTTTTTAAAAAGTTAATGAACACCATGGTCTGGTCGATGAGAGAGCAGTAAGGACCTGTGAAAACAAAGAGCAAACATGTGGCTCGAACGCAGACGAGCTCACGGACACAGTACCGGGTCCAACACCGGAGAATCTATTTCGGGCGGACAAATTTCCTCAACAACGACGTCGTTCCCGCACGTAGTCACGTTCGCGGGGCCCAGGGAAACGAGCCTATAACAAGAGGCAAAAATGGGAGGGAGAAAAAAAAAGGGGGGAAAAAAAGAAATAAAAAAGAATAGCCTACCCGGATGGATACACTGATGAGATGATCCCCGGCATGGGATCAATATGACGAGGGGATTCCTCAGGGATATAAAAATCCCATTACTACACTCCTGTCAACAGGGAAGCACACGAGATGGAGAGAGGGAAAAGCCAACAACAACAAAATCACGATGTCCGGGCGGCAAAAAGGCACTTTACGCCATCGTCTCAGTATAAATAATTAACCTTTATAGGCGAAAAGGCCACTTTTGTGCCACAGAATGCCTTTTCCCATGACTTATAGGTACAAATGCCATACTGTAACTTCTTGGGAGAATGTTCTGATACTCCGTCAATAATGACTTCACTATCAACTGTTTATTTTTATAACAGTTGCACTACCCAGCTAGCAAATGTTTAGGAGCTTCGGAGCAAAAATATGACTGCCAGCACTTTAAGTGGAAGATTTAAATCCGTACGATAATGGTTAAGGATTTCGGGAACCGCCTAATTCGCACACCCCTGCCTCCCTCCCACCCTCTCTATCTGAGGGATCCACCCTCGACAGACCCACAATGTGGGCAAGGCCAGTGTTGCCAATTCTAGCTATTTATAGCGGAATCGACCTCTTCTGCGCTATTTATTTATTTATTTCGCTATTTTCTAGAGTGCGCTCCTTTTTTTACAATTCATTTTCCATAATCTCTCCCAACAATTTTTTTTACGATATCGAGATGAAAAGCTGACAATCGGATAAATAAGAATTTTGATCATCTAATCCTGCTCATCGAGCTCAATCGGATCGACCTCAATTCAGAACACTCGTTTTCGATGATCCGGCAGCCGTGAGTCCTGGACGACCCACGCTCCCCCACGGCGACGGCCGTGCAAAAAATGATCAGCTGATCCATGCAAGCATCGGGTCGAATCCGTCCTCGCGACACGAACGGCCAATAATAACGCTTAATAACATAAATTAATAACTCAATAACGTTTCATGACAGCATAGCTCCCCCCCACAACCACAACCCCACAATCCCAGCACCCACCCCACTACCCCAACACCCACCCCACAAATCCAGCCCCCCAGCCCCCCCCCCTCCTACTAACGAAAAAGTCAGACGATAGCGACTGCCTCCGAGATGGAATCGAGCAGCGTGCCAAACACGGTGTGAACGCATGAGCGCGGACGAGAGTTGCAGGCGTCGCATGGGGACAGCCAGGCGGAAGGCCTCTCCCCCTTCCCGCCCGTCCGGTCGGGGATGTCGTGACGTCTTTGGATGTCGTGACATCCCTGGAACGTGTGATGGCTCCCGGTCCGAGGGACGCATAAGTGTTTTACTCAACAAGTAAATAAATATAAATATGCGGGAACAAGTACGCTGCAGGGAACTTAGCACAGTACCTCGAGAAAAATGCGGCAAACCCTCGAAAAAATCGAAGGAACTGATTAGAAACACCCGAAAAGCACGAGAATGACTAGCCGAAACCTCACTGCTTTTTTCTAACAGGGGTCTCATTA